TGCATTTGCTTTCATTCTTTCAGCACAACTATGGCAGCAGCATAGCTTTACTTGGCTTCCCGTGCGACCTGATGCATGATGCATGGTTTCACGCCAGCTACTTTACGGCCTCCCTGAGGGGACATGCCATTGGTGCCTTTGGTACTTGGCACGCTTCTTATGATGTTTTTACGGCCTCCCTCTTACCTTTTCCAAGGGACATGCCAGTTTATGTGCGGCAATCCACTCACTATGCAATGCAGCTTTCGATTGTCCTGGTGGGTACAGTGCAGTGCCCGCTTTTGCATATTCGACAACTGGTGCTTTTTCATAAAGTTCGGAGTGATGAACTTCTCGCGCTTTTCACTACTTTCGAGATGGCCGCGATCGACATGACCATTATAACGACTTGCATAACTGCTGTGAACACGCTTCGCTTCAATATCACACTAGGCTTGCTCGCTTGCTTTCTGTCCTGCGAAAACACAGGCCGCGTATTCGCGTCACATATGTACATTCTCTACGAGATGTATAGGTGGCTTCATACTAACTTCCAAGGACGCTTGATTTTACTTCCTTGAGCAGTCGGCTACGCTGAAGCCGACGGTCATTTTTCGCACTTTGCGCTTTTGATCCGAGTAGTTGGTTCGGTTTCATGTGCTCAGGATGACTGCGTCGTGACTTGAGGTCACTGCTCCATCATGCCCTGGGACTCTGTTCCTGGCGGTTGTGGCAGCATCAGTGCTGTGCGAGATCAGCTGAGGAATTTGCAGCAGATTCAAGCCACTAAGGACGGCTCGGCCTTCATCCGAGGTGATGTTCGCCTAGGCGATGCCGATTTCTACGCATGATCTGGGGCTTTGTTCCCCAAGGGGCAATTTCTCGATAGTGTCCCGGGGCGATTCTCGCTGCGGTCGTGGCAGCAGTGCTGTGCGAGATCATCTGATTGACATGCAGTAGAATCAAGATGCTTTGCTTTGGGTCTGGAGCTGCAGACTTCATCGTCGTGTTGACACGCACTATATTTCCTGAGGCGATGTTCACCTCTGTCGTGGCGGCAGTGCAGTGCGAGATCAGTTGAGTACTTGCAGCAGCTTCAAGCAACTAAGGATTCTTTCGACTCGTTTTTGAAAGATTGCTTCGTTGTATTTTGTGCTTCCAGCAACTTCCACAGCCGTTGCTGCTTTCTGTGCGACGGCCGGGTTGCGAATTCAGGCTTCTGCTCATGCTTTTCTGCAGTCAGGTTTGAGGCATCTATGGTCACTTGGGGTAATCCCCGTCATTTCTCCACAGTTGTGCGTCACAGCGTTATTTGATGAGCGACAGGGGATTTTGAGCTCGCCCTGGGGGTGATCATCACTGCCGCCTTGTCAGCAGTGCTGTGCGAGACCAGCTTAGTAATACGCAGCAGATGCAAACAATTAAGGATGAAGCATCTCGCTTGTTGGTTGCTTTGTGTCGTCATTTGTCGCTTTGCTTTCATGTCGGTTTGTGACTGCTGACTCAGTATCGACCACAAACTGCGTCCTGTTTCCCGAACCCAGCTTTTATCGCGATTTTGGAGGAATTCTCCTTTGGGACCTCGGGCAATGCCTGTAGCTTCGTCATGAGCGGGGGCGTTACCCCCTCCCCCACTGGTATGGCTCCATCGCGTCTTGGGGCGATGCCCATCACGGTCGTGGCAGCAGTGCTGTCGAGAGTAGCTGCTTTTTGTGCAGCAGTTACAAACAACTTAGGTTTCTTCAAGTTTCTTGTTGCGCGAGTTTTTCAGGATTTCTCCGTGGTGACCTGGCGTTTTGCCGGTTCCGCTGTGGTCTGTGCAGCAGATTCCAACGATTAACGATGCCTTTGCTGCGATTCTTTCAGGGCGTTTACGTCGTGACTTTAGGCGTTTTTCAACTCAGTGTTGACAGCATTGCGGACGGTATCGGGGCAAGTTATGGCTCGATCGTGTTTTGAGGCCGAGGCTTTGTTCACTGCTGCTGTGGCAGCAGTGCTGTGCGAGATTAGCTGATTAACACGCGGTAGATCCAAGCAACTAGGATGCTTTTCATTCGACTAAGGATGCCTTTCATGAGGGCATCCAACTGCCCAGCAGCCTGCAGAGTTTTGTGTGTGGCTTTCGCTTCAACCAGAGCTTAGAGGGCATGCCACTGCCCAGTTACAAACTTTGCAGCCGTAGTGACATGCAGTGCACGGCCAGGGTCTTCGGTGTTCGCACTCAGCTCGTTGCACCGCACATGCCACTGGCCTCTGACGTCGATGGGGAGAATGATTCAGGCCTGCCAGTGATCAACTTCTGTGGGAACGACGCCGCTCCCGACATTGTTGATGACGAGTGCCATCGCATGTTCATCGAGCTCAGCTTCAGCACCATGGGCATGCGGTGCACGGTCAACGTCATCGGTTGTCAGCTCGTTGCATCACACATTCACCAGGCCTCTGACGTCGATGGTGAGAATGGGTCAGGATCTGGCTCTGGGATGCTTTTTCAGAGACGGCGACAGTTTCAAGAAGAGCTCGGTTGGCGTCCAACTACCCAGCAGCATGCAACCTTCACGTTTGGCTTACTTTCAACAAGGACTTTGAGGGCATCCATCTACCCAGCGCCTGCAAATCTTCATGTTGCGGCAGATGGCCGTGCGAGATCAGCTGAGTAATGTGTAGCAGTTTCAAGCAACTAAGGACATGGCGACGCGCAGATGCGAGTTCCTGCACATTCTTTCGTGATGAACGCGTGCGTCGACAAGAGCTTGGATGGCATCTACCTACCCAGCAGCCTCCTTTTACACTTTGAGGTTCGTGCAGCGGATGCAACCATCATGCTTCAAAGCAGTTATGCTTCATGAAGGTTGAGGATGATGAGGCATGGTTGTCTTCTGGCCTCACTATGTCGACACGTTCGCATNNAGCTGATGTTCTCAGGACCCCACAAAACAGTTCTAGTCAACAAGGCCGCGGACGTTGTCGCAGCATCGCAGGGGGTTTCAGTTTCCAACTTTGAGCTTCGGCGTAGGTGCTCAAACATGTCGGGCCCGAGCAATATGTCTTGGCATGCAACAAGTCGCAGAAGAACAGGCTCACGTGGTGTGGTAACGACGTGTTGATCGTGTAGGCCTGCGGGCAGTGTAACCGCCTCCTGTCGGTTCTCGTGATGTTCAAGAGATGCTGGGCCTCGAGATCGTGTAGATAAATCGTACTCCAGCCTGATAGTCTTGC